AAAGACAAAAAGGAAAAAAAAAAAAAAAAAAAAATGCCGCTTATTTTTTTTCACCCCCTTCTATACACACACACATTTACCTCCAGCCCCTTTAAGATATTTGGGTGAAGTTAAAATGTTCCTGTGAAGAAGCACAAAAAGCAGATCAAGAAAAGAACCACCTTTTCCCAAAGTACTGTGTGGCCAGAGTTTGAATTTTGGTGACCTTACTGAATTCCTCTTGAGAACAGCATCCTTTCTCCTAACTCTTTGCTAAAGTCTCCCTACCACCCCCTTTCCCCACATTGACTGAGGCGGGACACGGTTTGGTCTTTACCTGTAAAGCTACTGTTCATTTCAGGAACATCATCCTCTTCCTCGTTCTCCGCATGGACTATGCCAGCATTTTGCATATCATTGTAGGACTTGGTTCGCTTGGGGGTCGACTGCTTGGAGCCAGACTGAAGGCTTTGCAAGGCATCCGTCGTGATCACTTTCCCACTGACTGGCTGGCTAGGAGGTTTGGGTGTCCCATAATAGTTTCCTAGGTGATGAAGAGACACATTTGCATGTTTTAAAAAGAATACTTTGGTTTTTTTCAAGACTTCACATCCAAATCTCTTTGCACATTAACAAAATTAAATTGGAAAAACAGAACAAACTGTATCTCATTTCTGAAATGGATTAGCAAAGATGTCTTTCCTACCCAGCTAGAGACAGTGACTTCAGAAAAGAAGAGGAAAGTTGCATTGTTTTGGTGCAAAGAGCATACTAGGGCTAAAAGCAAAGGAGGCTGTGCTACACAGTAAACTTTCCTCCTCATTACATTTGAATTTCAATTGGTCATCTTTTTATATTTATGCACCAGCATAATGCTGAATCCTATTTAGAGTGAGCTTCACAGAAAATAAAAAATTCATTACTGCAGGCATCCTTACAGGCCTAAACAGTTGAGGTCACCTTCCCTTAATCAGGGGACTCTTCAAGAGGGAACCAGGGCAATATTTTAAAAGGAGGACAGTGAACACCACGTGGCACCTCTTTAACTGAATGAGAGGCTTGACTCTTGGGGTCAGGAAGGGTGGAAACAAACCCTTGCCAAGTTGCAACAAAAAACCCTGCGTAAATGGTGGCACCCCATGTGGGCCACTCTTCTAGTAATGGCCCTTCTTTTTACTTCAGCCACTTTTTCCCAAAGTTTGGTTTAGGTCCCACTACAGTATACTATGGCTATGTGATTTTGAGTGGTACATAAAAATGGTTTTGTTGCATTTTAATAGATATATTTTTAAAATTTGCATTAGAAAAATCTTACTAGTAAGTTATGATAAGCAATATAAAGCTTAGCTTTAAAAATGAAGAAAAGGGCCGGCCCGGTGGCGCACTGCTACAGTGTCCCGCTTGGGAGTGCGGTGGCGCTCCCGCCGAGGGTTCGGATCCCACGTACAGACCAGTCCCGCTCACTGGCTAAGCGAGGTGCGGGAGCAACACCGAGGGTTGCGATACCGTTGCCGGTCCCGGTCCGGTACGGGCGCGACACTGAGGGTTGCGATCCGTTGCCGGACACGAAAAAAGACAAAAAGGGTAAAAAAAAATGAAGAAAAAAAAAAACAGTGCTTTAAAAAACTGACTCATTTTTAACTTAAAGTTTAAAAAGGCAGCTTTAGGGCTGGCTAGCCAGCTCAGTTAGTTAGAGCTCAGTGTTGATAACCCCAAGGTCAAGGGCTCAGATCCCTGTACCAGCCAGCCTCAAAAACACAAGAAACCAAATACATATATATATGTATAGATAAATAAAAAGGCAGCTTTATATAATCAGAAATTAATTGAGTAAATAATAGCAATGGTAGTGATAAAGAGTTTCCTTCTGAAAACATAAGTTAAAAAGTAAGTTACACAGCTAGACAGGAAAAAATAAGTTCTAGTGGTCTACAGTAGTGCTAGGCATCTATAATTAACAATAATTCATCGTATGTTCACAAATGGCTAGACGAGGAGCTCAAATGTGCTCATCACAAAGAAATGATACATTTTTGTGGTGATGAATATGCTAATTAACCTGATTTGAACCATTACACATTGTATGCATGTACTGAAATATAACTCTGTGCTCTGTAAATATGTACAATCGATATGTCAATTAAAAAATAATTTTTCTTTTAATTTTTAAAAAAGGTATTTTAAAGAAAACAAGTAAATAATAGATGTGTTCTGATTCATAATCATGAAGATGGTTCATGAATTATCCAAGTTTGAAAAATACAGTTTATAATCAATACCAGTAATACCCAGTAACTATGTGATAGAAGATGTCAGAATGCCATTGATCCATTCACCATTTCATGTCGTTTAGAGTAGGGCCAGGAAGATAGGAAATGATGTCAAGTCCTACAATAAATACTAACAATGTTTGTAATTCTATGCTTAGTAAAGCAGCATTTGTTAATAATAAAAAATCCTGTACACACTGTTTCTTACCAAGGATCCAACCTCCTCGTCTAACCTCAGTACAGTTACATAACATACACATTACCTAATCACCAAAACAAGGCAAAAGGAGACAGTAATATGTTGGGTCTTCACGAGACATAGAGACAAAAAGAATTTGCTTCCATTAAACTTTATCCTTATATAAATTTAGGGAACTCTGAACATACAAATTTTAAAAACACTGTAGATTAAAGGGCACCACACGTTTAAATCTGAAGGATCCCAGGTAGAAATCTGATAAGCACATTCTGGTGGCTTGTACTTAACTCAATGATTACAGTTTTTTCACACAAAGTGATCCTTCCATCTCTTCAAACAACTTCTTTCAGGTTTCCAATGTAAAGGCACAGCAACTGAGTAGAACCAGCTTGAAGAAAGGCATCCCATATGTGTTTTTAAGGGCTAACACTTGAGCAAGGAAGGATCGGCACATGTATGAACCAAGATATGAACTTCTCCATTTCTGCAAAGATCACATCAAAGGATGTTCTTCACCTTCATGGAAGGTACACCCATGCCAGAGTGTTAACTTTTTCATTAATGGAAGACGTTTTAAGGAAGCTTAGGAAAGTAAAATGATTAACAACTTAAAAAATAATCTCCACATTGGGCAAAAAAAAAAAAAAAAAAAAAGAGAATCTAACTTTAATTCTTTCCAACCATTATTATGCCAAAACAGCACATATATTTTAGAGTTGGGTGTTAAACTAAGGCTAATGTCTACAAACAAGAAACTTCCACTGAAAAATGCAACTAAAGAAAGGGATGCTTTACTAAAAAAAAATCCCCCCATTGGGAAAAAAAAAAAAAAAAAAAAAAAAAAGAGAATCTAACTTTAATTCTTTCCAACCATTATTATGCCAAAACAGCACATATATTTTAGAGTTGGGTGTTAAACTAAGGCTAATGTCTACAAACAAGAAACTTCCACTGAAAAATGCAACTAAAGAAAGGGATGCTTTACTCATTATTTTATAAGTATAATTTTATAACCAAATCACTCAGTTTCAATGCCATTACACTGAAATCACACTCAAAAAAATTATCATTCAGAAATCAATTAAAACTTTGACATCTGCATGTATGACGGAAATAAATGCCTGAAAATTAAAAGTTCCACCTAAATTTGACAAACGTGTGAATTTTCCAGTAGGTACTCACTCTCAGTATTCAAGTTTAAAGTGTTTCTTAAGTTAATAGATGATTAGCAGATTTGTCAAGCAACTACACACAGCCCCAAACAATTCACTTGTTCCGAGTTTTTTCCTGTCTCTGGAAATTAGTTTAAGATTTATTAGAGGGCTGGCCCCCGTGGCTCACTCGGGAGAGTGCGGTGCTCATAGCGCCGAGGCCGCAGGTCCGGATTCTATATAGGGATGGCTGGTGCGCTCGCTGGCTGAGCGTGGTGGGGACCACACTGTGCCGAGGGTTGCGATCCCCTTTACCAGTTAAAAAAAAAAAAAAGACTGATTAGAGACAGATTACTTGATTGAACCATACAAAATTGCTGTTGTAGAAGATATAAACTGTCAAACATCAGCAATTTCTTCTGGTTTGACCAAATGCATAGGGATTAGCACTACCTGGGATCCTCAGCCCACCATATTAGTAAGAGGCTTGGAGGGGACGGCCCAGAGTTCAAATCTCACCACTAGCTGCTGTGGCCCAGGGCAAGCCATTTAACCATTTTTTCAAAAGTCTTCGTCCTCATCCTTAAAAGGGATTCTAACAGAAACTAATTTACACCTAGAGTACCCATTATGAGGATAAAATGAGATGGGCCACTTAGCCCACACTAAAGTCTGCCACTAGAATGAGACTGGATAAAATGCTACTTAATGTTAACACTGAGCATTTCTAACCTTTAAAAATGAGCCCACACCACATTGTTTTGAGGATTCATGAGATAATGTATTTGAAGTACCTGGCACATGGTAACTGAGCACCTCTATTCTTTGAGGATTCATGAGATAATGTATTTGAAGTACCTGGCACATGGTAACTGAGCACCTCTATAATTTTATTGCTGTAAAGGAATAAGCAAGTTGACCTGCCACTAACCAAATAACCAAGTTATCCATACTCAATCTCTCTAGTGATTTCTCTATGACATGGGAATGGCAGTACCAGCTGTAGTGACCTTGCAGGATTATTGTGATGATTAAATAACGTAGTTTTTTTTAAAGATGCTCTGTATACTATAAAGTGTTATAAATATGAGACCACATTATTGTTCAAACCTCTCCAGCATTACTTATTTCCCATCTTGTAACCTATAGCCTTTACAGAAAAGCTTCTATCTAGTGGTTTCCAAACTACAGAGGGTTCGAACTTTCCTACATAAATATGTTTTGGGTTTTTTTCCCCACACATTGTTTTAAAATAATTTGAATTAGTGACCAACATTTAAAAATGGAATGTTTCCAATTAAAATCTGTATTCTCAATGCTGCTTGACAAACTGTAAGGTCTGGTTCCATGGACTCCATCTATTACAGGCAACACTGATAAGCTAGAATGTGTCTAAAGCCAACTCATCTGAACATACTCACTGATGAAGGATTTTTGCTCCTTCTCTTTGTTCTGCTCCAGCCCTCACCAGATGAAAACCTTGGACAAAACCTAGAACAGGGCTATAAGGTTTTTGCAATGCAAAGGAATGGGCAGATACAGGGACATGGACAGTATTGAGTGGGAATGTACGAAAACCAAAAACCTCAAAAAATCCTCAATAATTCACAAATGGGTCTTGGAGTGAATTGATTGCTGGTGAATGTACATTTAGCCTTGGGCTTTTGGCCAATGGGCTTATTTTGCTGTGACTTATCTTTACTGTGCAGCAATAGGCAGGCTGGGTCATGCACTCTCCAGTTTGCCCCAGTTACCACTGGTTTCCACTGACTCTACCCAGCCTATTCACTGTCTTACCTTTTTGTCTGGCCCCTCAGAAATCTGAGTTTATGACTCCTACTTTCCAGAAAACTCTCCACCTTATCAATAGTTTCTACTCCGGTCATAATCAGACAAAAACTAGCCATGGTAGAAACATGAACCT